TGCTCTCATGCAGGAGTCCGGCACAACAATGAAACCAAGTTCGGCTCGGCATCCTCAGACAGACGGGCAGACGGAGCGGGCACATCAAACCGCTCAAATGATGCTTCGTACGCTCATCCGTCCGGACCAGAAAGATTGGGTTGACCGCCTCCCCGACATCGAGTTCGCCTACAACACTTCGGTGCACCCGGCGATCGGCGTGACTCCATTCGAGTTGCACCACGGTGGACGGAAAGGCCGTATCTTCGCCAATCTTCTCCTCCCTCGACCAGCCGACATTGACGCTGAATGCTCTCCCGCTTCCGTCCGAAAGTACAGGGAATTGCTGACTCAAGCCCGCGCAAATATGCAAAAGGCTCAAGTCTGCATGCAGCAGCAATCCAACAGGCGTCGCGTACCATGTCCCATCCTCGCCGGTGATCTGGTTTGGGTCTCCGCGGAAGAGTTTGCACTGGAACAAGATGTTTCACGCAAGCTGCTTCCAAAGTGGTTTGGACCTTGGTCTATGACAGCAGCCGCGGGCAATGAGCCCGATGGCCCTTCATTTGTGATCAACATTCCAAAGCATCTGACGATCCATCCGGTCTTCCACGCCTCGAAGCTGGCAACATACACGCCAGCCAAGAGCGACGACTTTCCGGGTCGACGATCGCAGGACCCTCCCTCTACGGATGGTCATCAGGAAGTTGACCGCGTCATCTCCGATCGCAAGTACAGCAGCAAGCCGCGGCAGTACAAAGTCACATTCAAAGCATGCGATCGCGACGACACTCGGTGGATTTCAGGCGCAGATTTGAAAGCATCCACACCGCTGATCTACACGCATTATGAAAAGCGGAGGTTAGCTCAGGAAGCTTCACGACCAGCCCCTCCCACACGGACTGTGGTCCCTCCCTCAGACAGACASCTTCGCCCTCGCAGGTAAGCTCGGTTCTTCAAGGAGGGGGGGGGGTGGCATACTGCATAGCCAAACGGGCCCTGCAGGGCCCGTCCCGGACATTCAGCCTAAAAGCCTAAGACTTGGGGCTTACAGGCCCCGGTCGTTTCAGCTTGAAAGCTGAAAAACGAGGGCATGCAGGCCCTACTCCGTTTCAGCCTATTTCTGGGTCTTTCAGACCCAGAGTTTTTCCAGCCTGAAACGGAGGGCCATTTTCAGGCCCTCATTGTTTCGACCTGCCCCTAAGACTCAGGCACGTAAACAGGGATGCGGAACAGGCCAGAAATAGCCTGTTCCTCACGAGCTCGAGTAGGAGCTGCAGCTGCAGCACCTGCCTCCTTTCGGCATTGGCAAGAGCAGCCTCCTGAACTGCTCGCACGGCTCAGGAGGCACACGCGGTAGTACATAGGAGGTTCCCATGCACTTCACGAGTAGGTAGTTGTCAATAGGCATGGGTAGTCTTCAGGATTCGGGCCGCAGCACTCAGGAGGAGCGCTACAGTAGTCTTTAGCGCTAGGCAGTAGTAGTAGCGCTAGTTGTAGTCTTCGGCGCTGGGCACCCATAGCCGTAGCAGTAGTCTTCAACGCTGGGTGCTGGTAGGTGGTAGATCGTAGAGTGGGAGAGATACTGGCGGAGGCCAGTGGTACTTACCTGTGGCGCCATCGCTCCAGCTCCATCTTCGTGGTACCTGCATCAAGGCGCCAACTTCACAGGTTAGTACTGGACAGAGAGAGAGAGAGTTCTTTTTTTTCCTCTTCTAAGTCCACCATCTCTTCTCACCCTCTCGCCACCTGACTTCTCAGACTACGACAGAGAGAGAAAGAGTTGTGACTTGAGACTTGACGACATTGGATCCAGACTGGACATTGGGATTCAGACATTTCGACGAGGGACTATTTGGGCCTGTACCAAGACTTGGTGTTGACGACATTCCCATCTTCCCCTCCTCTTTCGTCT